AAGTTTCCTCTTCTGAAAAACCAAACAGTAAAAGAAACATTAAACCTTTTTTTTAAATAAATCTTCAAATATAGTTCAGTAATTCTAAATGTTGCAGCTTTGCAAGAGTTAAACCTCTTACAAATTAGTCACAATGACTTGGATTGATATATGATTTACAGAAATCTGAGTCTTAAAAAACCACGGACCAGACAGAATCTGATATGTATTATCTAGAAAAACATATTTTACCTACATGAGCAACAGGCCTCAGGTTTTCATAAATATTTGATATCATTTTTATTAGTTCAGAAGACTACAAAATCTTACATGGTTCAACTTTACCAACACAGATGTCTCAAATATTGAATCAAATTACTATTAACTGTAGTGAACAATTTTGAAATTAACATAATTACATACTAATAATCTGATAAACAATAATCAGACTAAACAGTGTATTTAAAAAACATTATCATAATGATGTTTTATTAACTGAAATCAAAATATAGTTAGTTAATACATTCTTTGCTCTAGGAGGAAACCATAATAAGTTTCTTCAAGAAAAAGTAACAACAATTTCAATCATTCAACTGTATCAGATTTTGATACCCTTAAAAAACTACTAACATGGAGCTTATTAACAACAACTGAATTATGTTACCACTAAAGCATCATAGTGCTAGAGTCCTATGTTCTACAAGGAGATTGCATTTTCTTGAAGTGAATAAGTAGAGTTGTTTAAACGTTTGTTTAACAACAAGTAAATTGTGGCGAAATGCTACAAGTTCTTCAAATACCTATAGAATGATAGGTTTCTTTTTTTTTGTGAGTGTAAAACACTTAAATATACCAGTTCGATTGGCTTCAACAATTCAAACCTGGGTGTGAATAATGATATAGATATATAATTGTACAACATTTTATTTCTGGAACAACTTTCTTACAGTGCATGAAAAATAAAAAAAATAAAGAAAACTCTTAATGCTAACTTAGTTACATGATTGGTGAAAGCAGAGAGTAAGGGTTAAAATATTTGGTACTGTGCATGATAAACAATTTTGCCAAAAGTTTGTTTGTTTTTTAATTAAGCACAAAGCTACACAATGGGCTATCTGTGCTTTGCCCACCATGGGTATCGAAACCCGGATTCTAGCGTTGTAAGTCCGCAGACATACCGCTGTGCCACTGGGAGGCCTTTGCCAAAACTAGCCAAACTAGTTGTGTATGGGAAGATGATACTGTAATGTCGTCTTTCTCGTGAAGATCTTCCCACAGTACTGACAGGAGAAGTTACGGTGACTCCTGTGCTGATGGTGTCGGTGTGCCGACAAAGACTTTTTTGATGAATACTGTTTTCCACAGGTATCACAGAAAATTTTGCCTACTTTTCCTGGTTCTGTATGATATGTATTTAGTCCAGTAGCAGTAAAGCCTAGCATAAAGAAATAAGATGGTGAGAATAAAACTGTTAAATAGTTATTTTTTTAATTTACACCTACAATCTTAATGATAAAAATATAAACAAACAATAAAATTAGTAAGAACTTATAAGACAGAAATCCACACATTTTTCTAAGTGTAGCTTTAATTTGAATAAAATACAAACTTGTTAAAACTTTTGCATATTTCTATGTTCTTAATACAAAAAAACATCCCAAACATTGTTCACATGTGCATGATTTGAATATTTCTTTATTTATTAACTTCAAAATAGGGTTCATTTTATTTTGAAACATTATCACTCACTTAGAATAAATAGTAAAAAAAGTTAATGACTTCACACACTGTTTCATAATCGTAATGCAGCTTGTAGCTGTTTTGTGAAGAAATTTTTCCCACAAACAAATTTATTATATAAAGACAATCAAAACACCTAAATAATATTATATGGCATTTAATTTTTGGTCATTTTAATTTCAACGTGTATATCTCTATACATTAGTTAAAGTGGTTGAAATATTCACATTAAGAACACTTTTATGTGCCATTTGGGGATGGTCTAGTAAAGTTAAATTTTTTTACAAGTAGGAATTTTGATGCTTGTGAAGCATAACCTATAGATCAGTGATTTTTGTCAATTATAATAAGACTAGAGATGCACAGGTAGTAAAATTTGGCCGAATACCGGAACCAGGTTCTCCCCTTGCCTGACCCCCCAAAAAAAACACAAAAATTAGGAACAAAAACAAAATTGACGTTTATTAGAGATTTAACTGAATAATCACCAAGAGAACATTCAAGTTTAAACTTTCAATGCCTAGCCCCAACTTCTCAAACCCTAACCCCTATTATTCTCTGAATCCCCAACTTTCAGTGGGCAGTCAGTTTTTGTTGTTTGAGACACATTTTTTTATAACTAAACCAATTACTGACTGTAACTTTCAGTAACGTGTTAGCTGCCACAAGGAATAGGACTTAGCTGCCTAACTTCAACACTCGGCCAGAGCCGAGTATTACCGGTTAGCCCAATATCTGGCTGGGTACTCGTGCATCCCTAAATAAGATTGATATATTCTTTTAAACAAATCTTTCTGTAATGGCTTTTACTTGAGCTAAAGACTTTGTTAGTAGTGGCATGAAACACAAATTGATGTTATTATGTTCTAATTATTCTATATGAAAACCAATACAGAACCAATAGAGAAAAATTATTTATCACTGTTATTGTAATGTTTCATAATACCGTTCTACAGCTGATACTTCACTGGCTTTACTTTCCACAATAACTGATGTTATAAATGACTGATATAAATTATATTTCCACAAAGTGTGGATGTTGTTATGTTCTATTAACTGGTAACTTATAAAGAACCAGTAAATGTTGTGATGTAATGTCAGAGTCACACAAAATACAGATGTAAAGTTTATAAGCAGCTACATGAACATATATATGTAAAGACATTTGTCTTGCCAAGATTAAAAAATTTAGTTTTTCTTATGAAATCACACTATGCAATCTAGTTAGGATGACATGTCTAAATGTTGGCATAAGGTTCGACACTAATTTTCTGAAAAACAAGAATTAAACATTCAACCTAGTTATGCATTTGTTTTCCAAAAATAGAAACATTTGCATATTAAACTCACATTCCAGATGAACAGTAGTGAAGTAATATAGGCATATCATTATAAAAAAACTGGCATATTTGTTGTTTATTTAATTAATCAAGAGACAAATTTTACATTAAAAACAATACTATTACAAGCTTAATGTATTTCCTATCTTGCTTTCCTCTCTTAGGCCTACCTAGATATTACAGCATAGCATATGCAAGGCACCATGTAACTCAAAGTGAAAAGTTATAATTGTAATTATCAGATCAAACCTGGAAAGTAGCTGGCCAAATGACAAATGGTATTTTACTGTAATATAGACTAAAGTCACACTATTTCCTAAATTAAACATAATTCAAAAGTACATCTATAAGTCTTACAGAGTAGGCAGAGGTGAATCTAGTACAGACTGGAATCCATCTATATATTATTGAATTTTATAAAGAAAATATGAAATATTTTCAAAGGACCTTGTCGTTTATATCAACGAAAATGTGAATAAGGTAAAAGCACAATAAGAAAATAATTGAAAGTTAGTGTTAGAAGCATGTGTGTACTGCATAAAAATAATTACATCAAAAATAACGAGTTATTTCCAAACAGAATTTTATTCGTCAGGCATTAACATACAAAACCTTTCCAACACTTTAATCATAGGTATACAAAATCACAAAATGTTCTTGCTCACGTGTCATACATGCAAGTTGTTCCAACTCAATATACATCTACAGCAAATTAGTGAGTTGTGAACTGTATAGAACAACATTATTAAGATAAAAACAATTTTAAAGTTACACACTGCTGCACGGTACTGCAATTCTTATACTTTCAATCAAGAGAAAAATAAAACAATTTTATTACTGAAATTTTTCCATGCATAACCTTAGGTCTTTTTTCACTAATAAAATAACTAAATTTCTTTGGAAAGATTTTCCAAAACATCTACATGTAAATTTTTGTATTGTGAAAGATAATTATTGAAAACAGAAGTGTATTTTACAACATACTCCACCATACAATGACGTCGTGAGCTACTATACGGACCACCATACAATGACGCCGTGAGCTACTATACGGACCACCATACAATGACGCCGTGAGCTCCTATACGGATCACCATAAAATGACTAAAAATCATTTTCCACTGTGAAGATTCATCCTCTTGAATCCTCAATCACAGTTCTGCCCTGCACTCGCTGGGGGCCTCCAAACGTACCATTGGCCACATCTGAATTTAGACTAGTTACGTTCTTGCACAAATACCAAAACAACACTATTCCAATACGCAATCAGACAGATTATTAAGAAGTAATTACAGTTACAAAGCTCTAGCCTATACAACAGAAATTTTTAAACAGCAAGCTGCTTGTCTTATGTTTTCATATGTAATTGTTATTACCAATGGTTGAGTTACTGAAAAGTGTCAGGTCTATAGCTAAATTATTGTTTTGCATTATATTATGATTTAATAGGTATTAAGTCAAAACTAATAATCACTAATAATAAGAACCATCACACACACAAACACGTGTGTTTTGAAATGTTTACAGTACTTTAGGAGACCACATCAAGGAAGAAATGCTAGTGTTATTTAAATTCAAAGAAAAATTGATATATATACTATATGTAAACAATGGTGCTATGGTAGATAATTGATGTTACTATATGTAAACAATGGTGCTACAGTAGATAATTGATGTTGCTATATGTAAACAATGCTGCTACGGTAGATAATTGATGTTGCTATATGTAAACAATGCTGCTACGGTAGATAATTGATGTTACTATATGCAAACAATGCTGCTACGGTAGATAATTGATGTTGCTATATGTAAACAATGCTGCTACGGTAGATAATTGATGTTGCTATATGTAAACAATGCTGCTACGGTAGATAATTGATGTTGCTATATGTAAACATGCTGCTACGGTAGATAATTGATGTTGCTATATGTAAACATGCTGCTACGGTA